CATTTTAAAGCGCCATTAATACATTCACATACGTGAATTTATGTGGTTTTCGATGTCAGATAAAAAAAATAATCGTACAAATGTCTTTGGAATTACTTACATAATACCTCTAACATTTCGGTATCGCTGCATACATCACCTGCAATATTATGAACACAACAATTATATTGTCCAGTGTTATATCTCGTTACCATAATGAACATCAATGTTTTGTCATCAAATATCACATGATCTTCGGATTTGTTAATGTGATGACCATCTACAAACCAACTATATTCAACACCAACTGTATTCGATGTAAAACACGTCATCTCAACCATAGTGTCATTTTCTATCACCGTCGCAGGCATCAAAATCCGGGCTTCTTTCGGTACAACTGTAATATCACAAATACGAACACAGAATTCAATATTATAACTTGTACCTGATAACCAAACTTTGATAAATATCAAGATTTTTTATACGTAACATGGACTATGTTTATACCATGTCTATTTCAATGATAAAATTACACGACAAATATATTTCTCGTGAGAAAAACAATGCAAAGCGTAATATTTCTTGTTATAAGCACGCTGTTTATTTCTGGTAGAAGAAAGTTTGTATTATAAATCGGTTTCAGCATTTATCCGCAGAGTGCAATATCAGTGCTCTGAACAGTATTTACCAGTCCAATTGTGCGAACAAGCCTTTTTATGGTAGAAGAAAGTTTGTATTATAAATCGGTTTCAGCATTTATCCGCAGAGTGCAATATCAGTGCTCTGAACAGTATTTACCAGTCCAATTGTGCGAACAAGCCTGTATGTATTAGTATTAGTATTGCGTGTTAATTTGTTTCTTCTGAGGTGTAGAATAACACTTTCACCTCTCTATTTTAAAATTAGATATTTATTAAAGCAGTAACACAACATATAGGGTATATCAATGAACAGTACTAATCCAAAAAAATATCGCATATTACATTATTTAATCAATTTGTAAGAGATTGCAGTCATACTAGTAGTTCTCAAGCCATTAAACACATAATATAATATGTAACAAACATAGAACAGTTTGCTTGATTAAACCCCTCAAATATATTATCCGATACTATTCTGGCACCTGCAACA